AAGGATTTCTACATAAGCAACCTTCTGAAAGGAAAATTTCCCCATAGTGAGAACACCGTAACCTCAGATGACACCACTTGCATTGTTGCCAAACGTGACATTTCCACCATTGCATATAGGCCTAAAATCTCGAAGGTACTCAAAACTTTCGGTCATGTGCAAGGAGCAAGCACTGTTAATTAACCATTCTTCTTCTTGTTCCTCCTTGCATAAAGCCTAAGAATTACACGGTTAGTTTAGGCATCCAAACAAGTTTGGAGCCAGGGACAACTGATGTATTTCTGAATGATGCATAGTTCGAGGTTGCATGGACATGTCTCTTGTCAACTTTTAGACCTAGTCTTGGGTGTTTGTTCAGATTTGGATTGTTGTGAGTTTTTGAAAAAATACGAGGTTTCTGGCTTTGATTCTATTTGACATGAGATAAAACCTTTTGGCGACTACATTGACATTTACAAAAACAGATTTTGTCATTGAAACTGACACTTTGCTTGGTCAGTGGTTTATAGAATGAATTGGACTTAGTACCGGTCCAAGATGGGTAACTTCTGACATGCGTGTTGTTTGGTTTCTGAAAAGTTTGTTTTGAACGAGGTTAACACGTGTAAATTTTTGAGTCCCTTTAGGTGGATTTGGTAAGATACCCTTCCATTTGTTGAAATTTTGTCGCGATTTTAAAAGTGTTGGAGTGGGTAAAATTCCTTTCCAATTAGGGTCATTTGAGGAATAGTCCTGAAAAACATAGTTTCTAAATGACTAACGCCTTTTTGGGTTGTGTCAGAAGTTGTAGGAATGAATTTTGAAATAGGACTTTCCTTTTTGCTTGTTTTCATGAACGAAGTGTTTTTTGAAATATAGTTTGTGAAAAAAAAAAATTCTGGACTCTTAGATTTTGGAAATCTGGCATGTTTCTTATTTTTCGAAAAACTTTGTATATTTGTGCCTCGAGATCTAATTTCTTCTTTGAAAGCCTTTTTTGCCAAAGATTTTGGTGAACCGCAGTCATAGTTATTCAAATACGGTTTCCTGGAATATTTTGAATGATTTTGAAAATGTGGGCTTGAATCATTAGAACTTGAGGATTCTGGGATTTGAGAGCATTGACCTACTTCAAAATTTTCTATGGGTAACTCATGAAATATTGGCTGAAGAATTGTGGTTCCTTGAACTGATGACCGCGGTAGAGATGACTTGACTACCGCAGGGTAGGTCTTAGATTGAACTTCGGTGGGATACTTGTGAGACATTTGACTACAGTGAGTGACAATGTGGTCTAAGGACAGAGATAGAAAGTCTTTTGAGACTTCGGGGCCCTCAACAATAACCTCTTCATCAATTACGGATGAAATTTGAGAATGTGGGTAAATGGTGTCAGTGATAGGAATTTGATCACATGTGTGACCCGAAACCTCAGGCACAATTTCCTCAATGACACAATTATTGCTTAAATTGTGCAGTCTACCGAAGTGAGTTTTGATATCTTCGGAAAAAGTCTTCTCATTGATAGGGAAATGAAATTCTCTATCAGGAGGGACATACAATCTGTCTTTGTTGAACCGGGGTGAGGAATCCATTGCGGTAGGATATCAATTTGACCAACCCCAATTATATGTATTTTCCACGATTCCATTGTTTACCAAATTTTCAATAGCCTCACTTTCATTAAACAATTTTTCAATTGAGAGATTTAAGCGTACAATTTCTCTCTGAGCTAAATCTCTCTGGTTCAAAGTTATCTCTAATTAGGTTTTTCTTAACATTCTAACATCTTTTTCTAACTCTAGATCCTTCTCTAACATAGCCATCTTAAGTCTTTTGTTGTCCAGTCGTCCTCTCACATGGAACATCTCTTGGGACGTAATGTTCTTCTCATCTAAGGCTTTGTTATAGTCTGTATGGACGACAACACAAGTGTCATTACGATCATCTATGTAGGGTTGACAGTCATGCATACTATAATTTAAAGTTTGGATCATGGGTTTTACCTGTTCGATGATGCTTAGAGTCCCATCCTTTGCCATGTAGTAGTAGTTCTTTTTCAACAGTGTAGATCCATCATCATCCGCAGTGGCCAACATGCGCATTTTCCCTTTTCCTTTAACACTGCCTATGGCCTCTTCTTCGTCTCCGGATGACCAAACTTGATGATCTGTTTTGACATGGGCCACATATGCTCTTGCCTTTTCCTTTTCTTCCAGCTCTTGAGCCATTCTAAGGTAGAATGCTCTGTCTTTGACTACATTAGCCTTACAATCCCTTACGAAGTGATTTTCTTTGTTGCATTTGTGATAAATTACAACATCAGTCTTGTCTTTTGATTGAGTGCTGGAGTCAGTGGTCTGAGGAGACTGCAGTACCTCCTTTGGTTGATTGTTCTGCGATTGCAGTGGAGGATGAGAACTTTTGGGATATCGAGAATGGTTGTTATGAGAACTGAAGTTACGGTTGAATGGAGGTTTGTTGAACTGTTGATTCTTGCGGAAGGAAGGAGGTGGTATATTGTTGAACTGTTAGCTAACCAGAGCAATAGCCTTCTGCAATTCTTCTTCATCATCATACTCATAATCTGCTTCGTATGATTGCGGTGGAGTGTACGGTAGAGCTTGTGCTACGAGAGCAAGTGGTCCTCCGAAGTCAGCACAGTTTTTAAGTACGGTGGATTCTTGTGCTTGAAGCTTTCCATAGAGTTTGTAAAGTGACAAAGAGTGAATCTTCCTGTCGCCTTGGACTATTATCTTAGCCGTAGTCCAATGTCTTCCTAAACCATTAAGGAACTGGAGATTGGTTTCATGGTTACTGCGGATGGTACCCGCATTGGATGACTTGGTGACTATCAGGTTGAACCTTTTGAATGAGTCTTCCAAACTCTCACCAGTATGAGCTTTGAAGTTGTTGAAATCGTTGAGTGCTGTTGTAAGCTTCTTATCTTGTGCTTGTTCTGAGCCTTCGTACAGGTTCTTGAGAACATCCCAGATCTATTTTGCTGATTTACAGTTTATGATAATATCGAAGTTGTCAGGAGCAACTCCGCAGGAAATTTCATAGAAAGAAACAACATCATTTTTCATTTTATCGAGATCATCCTTTGTGGGACGGCTCATGGTTGGTTGACCTCCTCCTAACATGGTTGCAGCGCCGTCAGTTTGGACTGGTGTAAGGACTGGAACATGTGGTTCTTCTTCTACGGATCACCATACATCTCTTCCCAGTGTTCTTAAGTACCTCTCCATTCTTTGTGACCAGTGATGATATTCATTTGCTACCGGTATTGGAGCTCGGTTAGAACCACCAATATTGTTAGAGACATTCAGAGATAATGATTGTGCCATTTGAGATTGTTTTTGTTTTTCTTAAGAAATGAGCTTTAGTGGTATAGAAGGCTTTATTGAAAAATCAGAGTTCTGATATCCAAAAAGAAACCACTTTGGCTCTAATACCAATTGTTGAGAGAAAAACTTGGAGACCCACTTGAACAAAACTAAGAACAAGTATATTGCGGAATAGTTAATCTCAAAGGATCTAAAAGCTCAACAATAATATAGTTAGATAGTTAGAGAGTTAGTTGCGGAAAGTAAAGAAATATAAATGACAATAATTGTTATATCAAGAATACACTTAAGCTGATTCGTAACAAGAAATGCAATCACTCTGAGTTAATAAGGAAGATCAAACTTAGTGATTAAGTCTTAAAGACTTCATCCGAAGAGAGGTTATAATCAGATATGCTTTAGTAACAATTGAGAGTAAGAAGAACAGAAAGATAGAGAAATGAAGAAGATAACTTGGAGAAATGTATTCAGAATAATACGCAAGTTATCAGTGATTGAGTGTAGAGGTAGTTAATACAAGAGAATAAGTCTCTATTTATAGAGACTCTGAACTATTCTAGACTACAACTCTATAAGCATCCATGCAAGGCATACGGGATAATAAAGCATATTAAATAAAAGAAAATAAGTAATATAAATAAGTAGACTGTGGTGGCAAAAGACTGATTGTGGTTGCTGATGAAGAACTGACTCTGAGTGCTGGATTGGTTGCGGGTGCTGAACCGTTGCGGTAGAGAGATGGTTGCGGTAGCTGAGTTCAAGAGTGCCAATTTTATGATTCAACAGGATATGTCCACTATAACACCTATGTAATACCTACTCCTAGATTATCAGCCATCATATCCTTCAAACCTATATTATAACATAAATCTAGGCATAGTATCTACAGTTATACTATCCTAAGGCATCTAACTTATTATAAAGTGAATTAATATTTAAGAAATAAATATTTTTATAAAATCATTTGTTAAGCATGCATTACTCTATGAAAATATTTTAAAAAAATAAATAGGGGTCGTGAACTCACCCGAATAGTGTATCGAAAAGCGCCCGAACCGTTGCAACCAGAGTTTCTTGCCATCAAGAGGGTATTGAAGTCACTACTAGAAAAACAGCCTTTTACGACGCTCATTGCGCGTCGTAAAAGGCTCAGACGACGCGCAAATGCGCGTCAAGGAAGGCCCTGTCATAAAGAGAGACGACGCACTTTTGCGCGTCGTCTATAGACGACGCTCATTTACAACGCGCAATTACGACGCTCGTTTACGACATGCAGTGCGTATCAAGGAAGGCCCTGTCATAAAGGAAGACGACACGCATTCGCGTGTCGTAACCTTACGACGCGCGTGTTAATGACACGCAATGTGTATCAAGAAAGCCCTTGTCAAGAAAGGCCATGTCATAAATGAAGATGACACACATTTTTGCGTATCATAATTTTAAATGTTTTAAAAAATATATTATTAATAGATTTACTTATTTTCAAATTAAATATGTATTTAATGTTTCATAATAGAAAATAAAATATCGTATACAAAGAATAGAATCCATTGCATAAATTTAATTTCATATAAATAATCATTCCATGGAAAGATAAAACAAATCAATAGAAGTTGTATCAAAAATTTACAAACAAATTAGATACAAAAAATACAATCTATTGCCCCTTTACTATTCAAGATCAACCTGCAAGTAGCTAACTAATTTGTACAAATTCACATGTGTTTCTAATCATTTTCTTAAATACTTTACAAACATAATTCATTCATAGTACCTGAACTATAGTTGCAACCTTGTTTCTTCTTCTTCTGAACTCATCTCTTGCAACCGTTGCTCTAAACCTAGTCTGAATAGATACAACAGGTCCTTGTCAATTATGTGAAAAATACAACTGGAGAGTGGCCTACCTTCATAATAGAAACAACTAAAGAAGCAGGAATCAAAGAGAAGGCAATACTCACAACAAACTTCGATAAATAAATTTTATAAAGAGAAACATTAATGAAAATGTAATATATCATTGTATTGTATGGTAGAATGGAATTAGGGAAGGAATGGAATGGAATGGTTCATTCCATTCCATCCAACGAAACAAAACCTAAGCATAAACACAAGGAATCATACCTCTACAAGTTTGTGCCCACTCTTTACAAGTTTCCACCTTTCCTTATCCAAACATAGCACTTGAATATCTCCATCGTCATATAACAAAATTAGTTAAAAAAACAGGGTCAACAGGCAAAACAAGTCTAAAGTTGACAAAGTGTATTCAAATGAATACAACCTCCTAAATAGTTATTATTAAAAAAATTAGATAGCTATTTTGATCATATCTAGTCATGTCTAAGTTTCAAAACTTTTAAGAGGGAGTAGTGGATTGCACCTGAAGTGGATTGCACATTTGCAGTGGTAGCGGGATTTCTCCAGGTTGGATTCAACGGTGGTCTTCCGGTGGTGGATGGTGGTCACCGAAAAACAACACATCAGTAAAAAAACCAAATCAAAGCATCCTTACCTGTTCTGTGGGCAGTAGCCATCGGATTTTGGGGGTGTTCAACGGTGGCCACCGCAAGAATGTCAACCAGAAATTAGCCACCACAAAAATATTAATTTATCCAATAGTATTAAAATTTTAATTAATCAGGTTTTTATGATATAACCCTGGAAAGAAGAGAAATTTTATGATATTCTTGCCTTAAATGCACTCAGTAATTTTATGATATTCTTGCCTTAAATGCTTGGAATCTGACTGCACGGATTCTTTAATCTCCTGGAACTAATGAATTATACTTTCTACTTTCAGTACAATATATAAACATAACCCAAAACATGACAATGATAATGATAATAAAAGAAAAGATACCATACTTGTAGCTTTGGGTAGATTTGTGACATGGCAATTAATCCCCACAACATCAAGCCATGATGATCCCTATTATTTCCAAATGAAGCAATTTAATGCAGTTTGAAAGAGTATAATAACTAGTGGTAAGTTATTAACCTTTAGATTTCTGACTTGATGGGCACATCCAGTAGGTATTAAGACAGCATCTCCAAGCTTTTGGACAAAACTCCATGCTTCAATCCCTAATCACAACCAAAAAATAAAGCACATTCAGAGATTTTATATCAGTGAGAAAGGTGATACATAACACGCCTTGCAAATGCGTACTAACCAAACTCTTCCTTGAGCTTCCTTTTATGGTCCATGGTTAAGTAGAATGTTTGATCATGAATTGGGTGTATAACCTGGACCAAAGAAAATACAATTGAACAATTTAAAAAATTACTATGTAGGATTGTGATGCTACACATAAAAGAATTTCAACTAAAAGTAAGGATTAATACCTGCTGTAGTGGAAGACAGAAGGAATGTCTAAACTCTCTGAAATGTTTTTTGAGATATTCTTCGAGTTTAGGAGTATCTTCCCTCCTAAATATGTCCAACAAAGCACCTCCATCTCCTAAATCAGATCCAACCACACAAGTACCTGAAGTATCATCTTGGTTATCAACTTCTTCACTATCAAAAGATATCACTTGTTTCCTGCCCTTTTTTTTCTTTCGTTTATTTCCATCTGGTCCCTCAACTCTTTTATTTGAACCCTTTCTCTTCCTCTTATCTTTTTTATCAATGTCAAACTCAACTCCTTCACAACTTTCCTTCTTCAATAAATATTGATCTGATAGATTACTAGTAGTTTTATGCCCTTCTTGTTTCTTCGACCCAACAACTTGCTCAGAAGTAGCATCTTTTGTGTTATCAACATAAAGTTCCTTCTGATCCTAAGCACTGTGCAGCGTTTTTAATACATTTATCCTTTTACAATGTTTAGAGTCGAGGGTCACAGTTGTAGCATGAGTCAGCACATTCACCTGCATGTCACTAGAAAAAATATTAACGAATGAAAAGATATAAAATCCAGAACATATAGGGTGTGCAAAACAGAGAATATATCTCTTCGAAATAACTCTTCACAAGAAAAGCTAACATGACGGTTTCAATTTTTGTAAAATGGTTTTATTTTGACATACCAAAATGTTTAGTTCGGGGTTTTGTCTTCTCAAAATAAAGCTAGAGATGATTTTATATTGTAAATCAAAAATAGGCATTGCAAATTTATGTTTAACTCGGATAGTAAATATTCAGCTACTTCATAAAGTTCGCTTCACTTTACTTTTCTAATTAGTGATTCTTTTTTCCATGGTGAGTCCAAGAAGTACTGCAATTACTGCTTTTTATTCTTTAATAACAGAAAAAAGACGAGAAACAGAAGAGGGTTGTTGGTTTCTTCCAACAGATCAAGAAAGGTTCAAAAAAATTAAGATTGCATTCCAACAATATATGCAATCCCCATGTAATATATATGAGACTCTCATAAATTGCAAGTAAACGAACTTTCATGACAGCTTCTGTTATATTTCTTTTAAATATAGTGAAGTCATCAGCAAACCAATTCCTTCTCGTACAAATTGAAATGGCAACTTCTATAACTAAAAGGTTAAAAAGAAAAGTGTGATGATGCCTAAAGAGCAAAATTCAGTTCCAATGATACAAGATGAAATCCAACACTGGTGATCATGTCTTTGCCTAAAATCAGAATAGAAAATTTCAATCAGAAGAATTTGGCATAACCAAACAGAACAAAAACATACCACATCATACTTGTGACTATGAAGTTTAGTTACAGAGTCTCGACGTCCCAATTCTTCAGAAACACCATAAGCTATATATGTTTTAGGACCCATGTCTGGCTTACAAGATTCTTCATGCAATTTGACTGCAAGATTAAGGTAGCCATCACGTGGATGTGTGTACTCTTTAAAGGGTAAACAAGTGATGAATTCAACACCATGACGTGGCAGCCGTTCTTCAAATGAATTTAATGGAGGCCAGTACTCTTTCAGCTTTAGGATCTGAGGCCACCCTTCAGTGTCATATATACCATTCGTATACCAAGCAAAAAACTTTTGAAGATTAACATCAACCTGCATGTCATGAGAAAAGTTGATTAGGCATGTAATATATCTCAATGTAGTATTAACTTAAAGGCAAACAACAACTAAACCCAAATCCTATATAAATGGGGTAAGAGGGAGGTAAGATGTATACAGTCGTATTTTCACCCAAAGGTAGATAGAATGCTTTCATAGATGACATCTGGCATATGAAACATGAGCTCACAATGATGAATAGAGGGGAGAAAAAAAAGCACATACAAAGCAATAAAGTTGAATAAAAAAAAAGGACAACAGTAATGAGGAAAATCACTCCCTAATATTTTTTATTATTGCATTCAGTATCTTATCCCACACAGCATGTCCACCAAACTATCCTTATTTCCACAAGTTCAATATACCTCTCATGTTCCTTCTTAATCAGACAAAGTCAACACATTTAGCCTAACTGCCACCCTATAATACTTCCCCTCAGTTTCAGATGGTAGATATCTCCCTCTCTTGCCCTCTGGTACCCTTCCCTTCAGGGTCCTCAAAATGTCTCTTCTAGTATAGTATCATACACCTTCATCATGATAAACACACAAATATAGAGATCCCTATTTCTTTCTCTATATTTTTCTATGTAAGGCATCTGAAGAGGTGGAACCTCATGATACTATACTAGGAGAGAAGTTCATATCAATAGAAATAGAAAATGTTCTCCCAAGCTTGTATGAACTGTATACATCCACCAATCACCTCAGAACACTAGATGACTAGAAAAGTAAATAAAAGATGTAAAATATAAAAGTACTTATCCAACCTCACACCAATCCAAACAGTTAATAACAGCCTCATCTGAGAGCTTGTTTTCTTTTGGATTTGAAGCCCAACGAAAAGCACCCCACATGACCATGGGTTCCCAGCTCAACCCAAGTGTAGTTTCAAGAACATTACTGACAATCTCAGGTTCCTCTTTTAACCAATGCCACTGGAAATGCTTCAAATCTCCATGTTGAATGTCTATTGCTCGTGGACAATACAAGTAATTGTCTCTAGAATTTTCACGGGAAGTAGCTTTTCGTAATTGCTGATCACCACCATCTGAAGAACATGTGCACCATTTCTCAGGCATATCCCTCATATCTTCCTCCAATTTGTGCATCTTTAAGATATTTTATGCTTTCTCTAGCAATTTTGAAACACTGTCAAGTGACTTTATGTGCATCAACTCTAGAATCCCACGACCACAACCACCCATGCTTTTTGGAGGGAAAAGAATTATGCCATCAACCAAAGAATTCCAGTCATGAGTTTGCTTTTCCTTTGGTGCAGGATCTTCATCAGCCTTCTCAACATCACATGTCTTTTTCCATGCTTTCCTGAATCCCTTAGGGTTGCCATGTAAGTACTCAGGCCCTGGATCTTTAGGTTCAATGATAACTTCTTCTTTGTTTCCTTGAGGGTTGCCATCTTGCAATTCCCAGCAACATTGAAGGCAAAGGTTATAATGACAAGAAGGGCAGCTTCTATGCAAGTCAAAAATTGATGTTTTACAACAGTCACTGCATATATCAGGGAACAATCAAAACAGGAATATATCACCCAAGAAACAAAATCCTTAAAGACTTGTACAATCATTGAAATGACATACCAGTGAATTTGCTTATCCAAGTTGCACTCTACCTTCTTCAACTGTACCTCCGATATAGAAGATCCTGCCTAAGTAATAAAGTTAGGAAAACCTACATAAAGTATGGCTGATTGCCATTTATCCATTCATATTGAGTTCAAGGTCAAAGATTCAAGTTCGTGTCATCCATTATGAGATCATCTATAGAAATTAAGTTAAAATGATGAAGGACGAGACTTGAGACTTCAAGTTAAGAAGTTAAGCAGAAGAAATGACTTTCCTTGCATTTCCATGAAGTCTCAACAATGAACTTATCTAACTCAAACCTTTTCCCATAAGAATGAAATAGTCATCATCATTAGTCAAGAATCATATATATGGCATCACTGATTTGGATTAGATACAATGTGAATTAGAAGGTCCACATTTTAAATAAAGCCAGAAAAATGAGATAAACAACAAAAAAATACCTTGAATTCTAGACTCTATTGCTATCTCTTTCATGTGCTGCTCATTTACATGCTTCAAGAACGGAAAAAGCACATGTAGGATGTAAATAGAATATTGAACTTTCTGATCATCATTACGTTTGAAATCAATCTTCTCTTTGACCTAAAACCAACAACAAATTCAGTATTAAATTTCTTATCTGGTTGAGAGTAAGATCATCAATAAGTTCCATAACAAAAGATGAGCTATAGGAACCAACTATATTGTGCACATTTCGCAAGCAATTTATAGAGTTGTTGTTGCCTTGGCAAACAGGGAAACACTCAACAAACATTTCCTCTGTCATGTTAGGGTACCTACAGAACATAATAAACAAAGAGAGAAAGATGAACACTGCCAGCGATTTAACTACAGTCTGCTTAAAAGACAATTTTCTACAATTGTGCATCAAGTTAGTAAGTTACGGAAGCATGCTTCTATAAAGGTCAATAATGGCTACTTGTTGCACCAGCAAAAAGATGTAGCAACGCTGATACCAACACTGAAGTTTAGTTACAGAGTCTCCATGTCCTAATTCTTCAGAAACTCCATAACCTATATATGTTTTAGGACCCATGTCTGGCTTCAAAGATTTTTCAGGCAACTTGACAGCAAGATTAAGGTAGCCATCACAAGGACGTGTATATTCTTTGAAGGGCAAGGAAGTGATGAATTCAACACCATGACATGGCAACCGTTCTTAAAATGAATTTGATGGAGGCTAGTCTTTCAGCTTTAGGATTTGAGGCCACCCTTCAGTGTCGTATATACCGTCCGTATACCAAGTAAAAAACTTTTTAAGGTTAACATCAACCTGCATGTCATGAGAAAAGTTGATTAGGCATGTAATATATCTCAATGTAGTATTAACTTAAAGGCAAACAACAAGTAAACCCAAATCCTATATAAATGGGGTAAGAGGGAGGTAAGATTTATACAGTCCTGTTTTCGCCCAAGGGTAGATAGAATGCTTTCACAGATGACCTCTAGCATATGAAACGTGAGCTCACAAGGATGAATAGAGGGGAGAAAGAAAAAAACACATATAAAGCAATAAAGTTGAATGAAAATAATGGGACAACAATAATGAGGAAAATCACTCCCTAATATTTTTTATTATTGCATTCAGTATCTTGTCCCACACAACATGTCCACCACACTATCCTTATTTCCACAACTTCAATCTTCCTCTCATGTTCCTTCTTAATCAGAAAAAGTCAACACACTTAGCCTAACTGTTATACCTCTAGATTCCAAATTCCTTGTATGTTAAAGTGACTTCATTTTTTCAACTTTAAACGCTACAGACTAGGTTTTTTTTCGTAATTCAACATATATTACATTTAAAACTATGCACGCGTATAGAAATGACGCGGCATTGAAGAACCCTAGCTAGGATAGAAAAGAAAAAGTCATAGAAGAAGGTCTGGATTAGCATTAAATGTTCGATGATTGATTGAAGATTTAGGGTTCGGTTTACCTGGCAGCGGGGGTGGGAGGACGAGGAGATGAATTGCAGAAGAGTAATGGGCAATATCAAATGTTATTCTATTTCTCGAACAAACTTAGGGTAGCTTTTGGAATCAACGGGCATTGATTGAAGATTTAGGGTTCGTCCCATCTTTTTCTTGAAACCTCTCATCATATCTCTTGGAAATAAGATCGACTTCCAGTGAATCTCTAATTTCTGGAATCATTTGAAGTTTTCTCAATAGAGAAACATTATTTAACAGAAAAGGGAGAATGGGGATGAAATATCGAGAGAGAGAGAGAGAGAGAGAGAGAATACAGATGGTCAAGAATGAGTAACCATCAACTTACCTGATTGGAGGAGCAATGAAGACAACTTGCACGTTGATTTGTGGAGGAGGAAAGGCTACCTATACCTTAAATGATGCTTTAATCGGACCTATATAGGGCTTCACTAGTTCATAGATGGCGACATGGATAAGTCGCAAAGCCCTTAATCTCCTTGTAAGTTTTACATAGGCATAATGTAATGATCCCTAAATCATATTACTGTCAGCGTGAGAAGTCGTAAATTGTTGGCTCTTAAACGAAGGCTTGTAAAATTGATTAGTCATCGCAGTCTTGGTGAGGTGAGATGAGCTCGAGGTCGCCAGTGGGAAGAGTTGAGCGGAGGTCTCCGAAGGTAAGAGGTGAGCGGAAGTGAGCAGAGATAACGAACTTTGCAGAGAGCATCCTTTTGAAAAAACCCTAGATCCCTTACAATTTTGTTGTGAGATGAACGGTACGCGCAGTCTGAGGCTAGAGGATGCAACGATTATTGGTGGTGGTGGATGTGGGTGAGGGTCGGGGTGGAGACGAGGGAAAAGAAGGCGCGTGTTTAAAAAATTTGGGATTTCATTTTCCCTTCAAGGAGAACCGCGTTTCATAAAAAAATATAAAACGACATTCACAGAGGACGCACTTGTGCCCTCCGTGTTTTTTATTTTTTACATTAGACACTAATTTAAGGGCACTCAATAATGCGTGACTTAAATCCTTAAATTTTTTAAAGAGATGACACTTTTTTAATATCACTCTCTTTTGCGTAACATAAATCAACGAGTGTCGTGGTTTGGGCGTCGTAAAAGGCTCTTTTTCTTGTAGTGAGTATAGAGAGTGAGCTTGGAGGTTGGATTGAGATGAAAAACTAGGAAGCAAACACCTCTATTTATAGTGTTGGTGCACGCTAGGCACTCTCCTGCGCGGCATGCACTTGCTTCGTGGCCCATTCAAATCTTGCCACGTGTCACCCTTCTGGTGGTCCGTGTTTCCAAATCTAGCCACGTGTCACCCTTCTGGTGGCCCATCCAAATGTGTGACGGGCATGGCGCGCACATTGACGTACACCCTTAAATAGTTTTTAAAAATTCATAGTTTCTCATATGAACTTTGTTTCTTAATCTCTTTATATATTTTTATAGCTCTTTCCTACAACTACGACTTTCGTTTAGGTTGCATCTTCTAATTTTAACTTTCATTTTTCACCCAAATTTTTATACTTTATAAAAATCATATATCCTTCATACGACTTCCATTTTTGCCCTTCTTCCTTCCTAATTTCTTATCTCATGCTATACTAAAAATTTCCTTTTTGTAGTGTTAGCCGAAACTCAACCGTTCTCTTTGTTCTATTTTTGATGTCAATAGCGTTATTAACCTGGTTGGTTTCTATTCATCATAAAATCATAATTCTTCTATTAATAGTTAGATTTTCTCAACCTTTATATTTTTTGGATCATTAGGCTGTGTATTTTCCAAATACACTAACCATTTTAACTTTTTGATTACTTTATTTTCGACTAAACTTTCCATATTATACTTCAATATGGGAAGTTTTTGTCATTATGAGTCAATCCTAAATCTTCGTAACAATAAATGGTGAAATTTTCAATTGTCACAACAAGTTTTCGATTGACATGATTATTGGTAGGAATTGATGGTCATATGGGAATATGGAAATGATTCCATAATGGGAAATAGGTATGTTGAAATGTTTCCATAATAAGAGTGGTTATAGAATATGCATGTGAGTTGAAAACTTTAATGCAGGAGAAGTGTTTAAGGAGTGTGCCATGAATTTGAGACTTCATAACCATGGAAATGTTCTAAGTAACAAGTTCTAGTGGAACATTCTACTATATCAAAGACACAGTTTCTATGATTTTAGAACCTCGACATCTTAGAAGGACAATGCATGTAAATAAGAAATTCCACTACATCTTAGATTCTAATGTGAATTTAGGAATTGTGAAATTAGCATAATTGGAGTAATACCAGTCGACATGTTCACAAAGGAAGGTCCATAGAGAGGCATAGTATGCATGTTGAGAACATAGCGAAGTACATGGATGATCACATAGAACAATCTAGAATGAATAAATTCATAATTGTTATGGTGATTAAACAATAGCTATTTATTCATATTCAAAGGTTTTGATACCATAGTCTATTAGTTTATTATTATGTTTCACTTTGGATGTTTACTTCCTAAATAATTTTATTATTCGAAACTCCACAATCGTTCATACTTTTGGAAGTAAGTAGTAAATTAAGACTATCATGAACTTTTTGTAGATTGTCTATGGAGATTAGAAATTGCATACAGATTGTTGGAATATTCATGAGTAGTTAGAAAATGGGATTTTAAGTATTGGATAAGCTCACGCTTAGAGATTACTTCATGGGTGTTATCATGAGTAATTCTGAGACGATACTATCTACTTTTCTTAAAGTGTGTGTGTGTGTGTGTGTCTATATATATATATATATATATATATATATATATATATATATATAGCTCATAGTTTGCGAAGTAGTTGTGTATTGGGTTTCCCAAACGCATCTCATAACAGGATGTTATAAATGTTTATTCCACGTATTATTTGGTAAGTAAAAGATATTACTATATATTCAATGTAATTCTTTCCTTTTCCTGAATAAGGGAAAATGATATCTTTTGGGCCCCTTGATTATTTGATGTTGGCATTCATGTGCAAGGCCTTTCTTGGAATAATCAGATGTGTTTAATTAGTAGTTTGAATTGGTAACATCCTGTGTCGAGAAGTTTCTTGTTTTGGGATTGTAGAAAATAAATTGATCAATTAAACTCCATGGGATTCAAGGTAATGGGTTTAGACCTTATTAGATGTTGATAATGTTGGATAAGTGATTAAAGCCTTGGTTTGTGTCTTTGAGTGAAAGAGGTAAAATTGGAAAAGTGATGTTTCAAACTTGTTTTATGAATTAATTATTTTAGTTTGGTGTGTTTTAAGTAAAAAGTAATTAGATAGGTTTTTGGGGCTTGTTAATACCTTTCCATGCATATAAATAATGCCAAAAATGGAGTTTAAACGAAGAAGTTATAATTGTTTGAAATTGGAGTGAAATTGGGTGAGAAATAATTCTCACGACGTGAGAGTCCTTATGAGGTGAGAATATATTCTCATGACATGAGAACTGTGCAGCCTAAAGCCCATAAAAATTTTAGGGTTTTCAAGGTATTTCAAGGTAAGATTTGAGCCTCCCATCTCCTTTCTATCATCCATTTTTTGAGTTTTTGGTGGTTTGGAGCAATGCTTTTCATGCAAGATTGATCCTTGAAGCTTGGCAATTGAAGATATCAACTTTCATCTACCTTCTAGACCTTTGTAAGTTATAAAGTTCCCAGCTTTATTGCATTTCATCTTTAGATCTATGTGTATTCGGTGGTTTGGTCCATTCTAATGAGCTTTGAGTGAGAGTTGGGAATAAAGTTTGCAACTTTATTAATCTCCAAGGTCCCTAGAACATTGTATGTTTTAGATCTAGACTACAACACCTTTTGACCAATATAGAATGTTTTCTTGGATCTCATGGACTATGAACGTTTTGATTTTTTGCCTTCCCTTTCAGCCATGCAAGTTATTTTGGTAATTCAGGAGATTTCGGTGTATTAAAGTTTAGATCTTGAAATCTTGAGATATTATTTTGGATAAAGTTGGAAACTTTATCCACCTAAACATCAAGTGAATTCATGTCTGAAGGATGGAGCCATGGAATTAATGGATTTAGCTAAGAAAGATTCATTAT